CGCCGCCGGACTTTTAGTGGCCTAAAATCTCCCGGTTTGGCTTCAGTAGCCTCTGGGAGAGAGAGCCCAATTCCGGGAGACTCTGGGCGAAACCGGGAGGGTTGGCAACCCTACTTTGAGGTGAATTTCCTGGCTAATACTGGCATTTTAAACATTAAATGGCCTTACCTGTGTTATTATTTATTTTATTAAAATCAAATATGCCTTTAAGCATCGTTTAGGTTATAAACTGCAAGGACTGGGTGACTACTTCTGGAATTTGTGCTCTGCAAAATTGGCACTGAAATTAAAAGTATTAAAGAAATGAATAGCAGCACCGACTTTTGTGCTGTTTGTTTCTTGTAAAATCCTCTCTGATTGGGGAAAGGAAGAGAAACTCCAGTTAGTTTCACTTTGTTTCTGGTCAGTTTGGGATCAGCGTCCCTGTTCCTGGATCAGCCCAAGGTTAATCTGATAGTTCAGAAACAAAACTGGGAAGCAGAAAAACTGTTCTCTCTGGTTTTGCCATGGACTCCTTAGATCACTCTGGGAAAGGCCACTTGATCTCTCTGAGCGTGAGCTTCTGTAAAATGGAGATAATGCTGGTTCTCTACTTCACAGTGGTGGTGCAGAGATAAATGCATTCATATTTTGCTATGCATATTTAGCTATGCATCCGAAGAAGTGAGGTTTTAACTCACGAAAGCTTATGCCCAAATAAATCTGTTAGTCTTTAAGGTGCCACCAGACTCCTTGTTGCATTCATATTTGTGAGGAGTTCAGACATGACAGTGATAACTAGCATAGACATACCTATAAATAGCTCTTTGGGTTGCAAACACTTCAGGGGGAATGTGTCAATCCAAACAAAACACTTATTCTCAAGGACTTTGAGAGAAAGGGCAGCATTTCTATTTATACTGGGCTTGGAGAAAAAGCCCTTTTTTCAACAGCAAAACCCAGTTAACTTTACATTTGGATTGTAACAAGTCAAGATGGATTATAACTTTACAGACCCAAACCTCATTTGGGGGCACAAGCTACCTTTATTATTACATATATTGCAGTAACAAACAGAGTCTGCAGGCATATATGGGGACGGGAGCCTAAGAGGGAAATTGAGGTAGCAGACAGATGACCAGCAGGTTAAATGGACTGTAATCCAGTCTCTGTAGAATTTCAAGTACTTCCTGCTTCTGCATGACCCCAGAAATAGTAAGAGAAGATCATTTATATCAGCTACCTTGCTCCCATTCTCAGCCAGAACAACAGAGGGGCATATCAGTGGGGGAAGGAGGGAATGACCAGCTAACCAAACATTTGACTATTCATTTAAAACCTCCTGTTTTTGAGTCTGCTTCTTCACACACTCTCAGCAGCCAAGCTGACAATGAACAGCACTTCAGAGGGTCAGCCACATACATCAGAGCCTGGTAACTAGGGGCTTTGCAATCAGGGATGGCGGTAGCACCTTGTAGCTAGAAATAATAATCAGACTGTAAATTCTTCAGGACAGGGGCTGTCTCTCACTAGGTGTA